CAAATAAATGGAAAGACATCCTATGTTCATGGACTGGAAGACTTATTTTGTTCAGATGTCAGTATTACCCCAAACAATCTACAGACTTAATGTAATTCCTATTAAAATCCCAATGTTTTTGGCAAAAATTCATATGGAAACAAACTCAAGGGGTCCCAAATAGCCAGAACAATCCTAACCAAAAAGAACAAAGTTGCAAAACTCACTTATTACAAAGTTACAGTTATCAAAACACTGTGATACTAGAGTAAGCAAATATATAGACCAGGGATAGTCTTTTCAACAAATAGGACTGAGAAAACTGGATAGCCACATGTAAAAGAATAAAGTCAGAATTTTACCTATACCATAAACAAAAAATTAACTCAAAATGGATAAAAAATCTAAATGAGATATAACTATAAAATTCTTAGGAGAAAGTCTTCATGACACTGAATTTAGCAGTGATTTCTGTGCTATCAAAAGCACAGCCAACAAAATAAACTGGAATCTTTTGTGCATCAAAGGGCACTCAAGAGAATGCAAAGACAACCCACAGAATGGGAGAAAATATTTGCAAAACATGTATCTGCTAAGATATTAATATTAATATCCAGAAAACATACAGAATTCCCCCCCAAAAACCCCACCTAATAAAAAATGAGTAAAAAACTTGAATAGACTTTGCCAAAAAAAGATAAGACAAATGGCCAAGAATCACATGAAAAGATGCTCAACATCGTCAGTCATTAAGAAAATGCACATCAAATCAGAATGAGATACCACTTCACACCCATTAAGTTGGCTATTACCAAAAATATGGAAAATACAAGCGCTGTCAATGATGTGGGAAAATTGGAACGCTTAGTAGAAATGTAAAGTAGGGCAGCCACTGTGGAAAAGCTTGAAAGCACCTCAAAAAGTTAAACAGAGAACTACCATATGATCCATCATTTCCACTCCTATGTTCACACCCAGAAGATCTGAAAGCAGGGACCCAAACAGATCCTTGTGCACCAATGTTCATACCAGCACTAGTCACAATAGCCCAGAGGAAGAGACAACTCAAGTGTCTGTCAATAGGTAAAGGGATAAAATGCAGCACACACATGCCATGGAATATTACTCTGCCACAAAAAGGAATGAAGTTCTGACACATTACTACATGGATGAACCTCAAATATATCATGCTGAGTGAAATAAGCCAAATACAGAAGGACAAATACTGTATGATTCCACTTTCACGAGGTGCCTAGAGTGGTGAAATTCAGAGAGAGAAAATAGAAGGGTGGTTGCAGGGGTTGGGGGAGGAAGTGAGGGAGTGTTTCATGCAGATAGAGCTTCAGTTTGAGAAGATGAAAAGTTCTGGAGGTGATGGTGGGGACGCTGAACAGTGTGAATGTGCTTACTGCCTGCCCGAGCTGCACGCCTAAAACAATTAAGATGGTAAATATTACGTGCCGTGTATTTTTTAGAAAGATGGCAGGGCAGCAGGATGTGAGAACTTGGACGCCTCACAGCATTGTCATGCTGCTGCACAGGCCCTGCAGCTGCCTGGCCTGGTCTCCTGAGACAAGGACAAGCTGCTCATCAGCATCCGTCATCCAGTTCCTCTTACTGTAGCAGCATGCAGCCTTAAGGGACATGCCTGCAAGTCCTTTAGCATCCTGTACCCTTCTGTTGTTCTGCAGGGGGACCTCAAGCTCTGTACCACTGACATTTTCAGCTGAGTATCTCTTTCATGTGGGAGGTGCCCTGGGCATCGCAGCACTTCAATAGCATCCCTAGCCTCTGCCCACTAGATGTCTCCAGGGTTGCCTGCCCCCACCTCCCCCAGGCTGAGAACAAATGCCTCAAGGAAACCTTTGCTACACCAGCCATCCTGAGCTTCACAAGCCCTGTTGGTTCCCTCCTACCAGCTGTGCTGTGACCCCACCAAGGCTCCCACCAGGTCTTCCCAAATCCTGTCCTTTACAGCCCAGGCCAAATTCTCCATCAGCAGTGAGGACCTCAACCACCACCCCAGGCCCATGCCGGTTCTCCCTGTTCCGGCCATTGCAGCACTTGGCCTCTCTGTTGCTTTGTGTGCACATTTTGCTCCTGGAGGTTGGTCCTGGTTCCTGGGGGCAAGAATCTTTGCACACATAAGGTCCAATCCACACATCTTAGTGAACCTATTGGGCTGCTCATCCCTGGAGCTTGGCTGCAGGCAGGAACCATGGGTATACAGGTGAAAGGCTCAGGGCTGTCTGCCATTGTCTTCCCACCCTCCACAGGGCAGCCACCAGCATGTCTGCCCCTCCAGCCCACTGCTGTGCTGGGGCGGGCCTGCAGGTTCACAGACAGGAGAACACAAGCCCAAGGCAGGAAAGAAAAGTGTCTGCTTTACACTAAATGAAGTCCTGGATCCTTCCTGAGGGCTCCGCGGAGGGCAAGGGTGGGCCAAACAACCACCCCTGACTGATGCCCCCTGTGTACCTAGCTCAGTTCTGGGACCTGGTGAAAGGCCTTAGGTCTCAATAGGAGAACTACTGAGGAGGGTGAGAACATAGCAGACAGGTGACCGAGTGGGGCCACTGGAAATGGAGCCGAAACATCCAGGTGGAGTGTGGATGGGTCTGGGAGGCTGGCGCTGGGGTTGACTCTCCACTTCACAAGCATCAGCCCCTGGTGTCCCTGTGGGCGCCAGCTTTGGTGGGCCCTTCCTTGCCATCCATATTCTCTCAACCGGAGCTTTCGAGCTGGACAGTGAGCTAGGTATCCAAGGGGCTGAGGGATCCCTGAGGCAGGGTCCCTGGTGAGGGACAGCCCCTGCCCAGGTAGGTGGGGAAGGCAGGCAGGGATGGACCTCGGCCTCCCCCGACACCCCAGCCTTGACAATCAGCTCCGAGCTAGGGCTGCCCCGGGGCCTGGTCTCTGCTGAGTCATAGGGATGGCAGAGTGATGTGGAGAGCACCCTGACACTGTCTCGGGGCAGAGTCCAGCCTGCTAGGTACACCTTTTCCTTCCACTTTTAACTGGCAACAGTCAAGAGCCTTGGGCACTGGCGTACCCTCAGGGGAAAAGGCCCTTAGAACACTGAGTTCAGGTGGGGCCAGGAGTACCCAACAACCTGGCATGGCCCCTGTGTCCAGGACCCCCAAGCCAGGGCAGAGGCCTGGTCACAGAGCCAAGCCTGACAGGTCACAGCAACCTTACAGCCCTGGCCCAGGCTTATTGGAAGCTGGGCTGGCAGGACTACCTCTGAAAGGTACCTGTCCAACCATCTGTGTGCTGGCTAGAGGGCACTGCCCCCAGCGCAGACCTGTTCCTGGCAGGCCCCACCAAGTGCTAGCAGGGCCATCGGAGGCTCTGAAGACACTGCAGCTTGGGAAGGTGGGGAGCACTGAAGGTCTGACCCTTGAGCCCCAAATCCTCATAGTGAGGGTTATGCCCTCCCCATCTCCCTAGACCCTAGCCCATGGCCCAGAACAGGCACCGTTCAGGCTTCTGTGGGGCTGCGAGCTTTCAGCTGGGATGGCCACTGCACTCCAAGGAACCCCCAAGCTCTGGGTGTCAGCCAGCCAAAACCCAGAGCCAGTAGAGCTTACCTGCTGCTCAGTGAAGCTGGGCTTAGAGCAGGCTCACTCTACCCCTTCCCTTCCAGGCCCAGGGTGCCCATCACATGCACACCAGGTCAAGGGCCTGTCCAGTTCTGGTTGGGCCATGCTTGTGAACAGCACAGTTCAGCTAGACCAATCCTCCCTCCCAGGGCCTGCTTTCTGTATGCCGACAGACACAGCATTGCCCACCCCAGGGCGCACGGGGACTGAACCAGACACCTGGGGCCTGTACCCTGTCCCTTGGCAGGGTCAGGGTGCAGGGACAAACCATGCTACCCCACTACCACCACCAGGCCCTGGCCCAGCTCCACTTGGACATGCCAGCAAAAGCCAGCACATTCCACACACAGGAGCGCTCAGAGGGGCCCAGCTTCAGTTGGACATGACAGCAAGAGCCAATGGTGTCCGTCCCTCCCCGCTGCGGGGACAGGCTGGCCTGGCACCACTGTGCCTGCACCAGTGCCCACAGCCCAGCCCTGACTTGCCATGGCCTCAGCCCCATGTGAGTGAGACTTCCCATATGTACCCAGAATTCAGCATCGCCCGTGTCTGGCACATGGCCCCCAGGGCAGACCTAGCCCCTGCTCTGACCACGATGCTCTGTGGCAGCTCTGGGACCGACTCCACTGATAGCTTGTCCACAATGTATCTGCACCACGGCAGACTGGGGTTCCAGCTGCCACTTCATACCGCTGACAGTCCACTGAGTAGCAGCGGCCACCACAGCCTGGCTCCCTAGAAATTCCAAGGCAGGAGCAGGAAATGAGGTCCCACCAACTCTGAGTCCTCTACACCCTCACAGACGCAGGGGCCAGCCCCTGGCCACTGTGCAGACCAGCTGGGGCTGAGAGTACAGTTTGGCTCTCCCTCCGAAAGAAACACTCAGGCACGCCCCCACCCCCTTCCTCCCCAACTCAGCATCCCCTGGCCAGCTGGCCTCAAGGAGCCTGACAAGCAGGTGGCAGGGACACTGTGCTAAGTGTGCATGATCCAGGGTACTGTCAGCAGAAAATCCCTCTCCTGGATGCCAGAGGCTGCAGGAGGCCTGCTAGCTGAGCACAGAGCAAAGGGCAGCATGCGCCATGCTGACACATGCAGGTGCGCAGACTGCAGCACCGAATCAAGGGAGTACAGAAGCCTGACTCACACACCCGTGTTTGGAGGAGGAGGTACAGAGGTACCAGGCCGTAGTCCCTCAGGGTGGTCAGCCTGATGCAAAGAGGCAGGCAACAGGAGCACCTGGGGCTGGACTGGAGCCCTGGATGTGGGCAGGTGTTTCCAAGGCCCAAGAATGTGATGCCACACACTGACCTCTGCCGGCCCAGGGCACTACGTGCAGTAGGTGACAACTAGACAGTGCCTCCCAGAGGGGCTTCTGACTCCCAAGGCTTTGGGGATGGTCCTTCCCACACACAGGACTGAAACTGGGTAGCGAGAACCTTTATTCTGCTGTTAAGGGATAAAACACCAGCCGGGCAGTGTCATGGACCTGGAGGGCCGTGGCTCTGGCCACCTGGATCCCATCTGTCCAAGGCGGAACCCAGCTCCCAGCTCTGTCAGCTCTGGGACAGTTGGGAGACCTCAGGAGGGCGCTGCTGTGGGTCTGTGTCCCTCTCTTCTGTGCCTGAAGCTGCGCAGCGGGTTCTGAGTCTTTGCCTTCTGTGGGCCAAAGGCACACCTTAGCCGGGAAGTCGGGCATCTGCTGCCCAAACTGAGCCAGGCTCAGGGAGGGTGGTGCAGCCACCTGGTAAGGCCCTGCAGCCCACGAGCCGGGGACAAGGGCTGCTGTGGTCACTGGAAAGGCAGCCCATCCAGCCACACTCCCTGCCCCTCAGACATGGGTGGGCGATGGGGCAGCACATAAGCCATCCTGCGTTCAAACAGCCTGGGCAGCCCAAGGATCCTGGCTCCAAGGGCTCCAACCTGGGCCAGAAGTTTGGAGCCAGTGAGGGTCCTTCTCCTCCCTGCCCAGATGCATGCATACCCTGGTGACAATGGGACAGGTGGGGCCCTGCAGCTGCCATGAAAGCCCTGGGCACTCACCTTAGCCTTCTTAGAGGATAGCTTCTTCCGCTTCTTGTGAGGGTGGATAAGGCTGCGCAGAGCAGGAGGGACTGGAAGAGACATGGCCTGAGCACACTGCCCTGTACCCGGCTGCCCAGCCCCAACCCAGAGCTGGGCACTGGGAAGGGAGGGCAGGGCCCCACTTGCTCTCTCAAGCACCCTATGCATTTAAGCTTGCTGCAGCAAGCGAGGGACAGAAGCAGCAGGCAGCCTCTGTGTGACTTCATCATGTGTGCCTATCACTACACAGTCACCTCGAACCACTGATCTCCCCTCCCCTGCTTGGCCTCTGTCCTCACCTCCACTGCCTTGTGCCCAGCACCATATCCAACCCACTACA